AAAATAGCTGTTCGAGTTTAAAGGAAAACAGCTTCAAATAGCTCAAATAAGGCAATCTTGGCTCCGGATATGGAAAGTGAATGAGTGGAAGGATCCGCCTGATCCCATGCATCTTGGTGCACCTTAGTATACTGTAGGAAGCTTCTCGAAGTATCTTAAACTCTCCTGGGCGCCAAAGATACGTTTGGAGTCTCCTAAACCCGTGAGCATCCAAATAAGGCAAGTGTAGACTGCTTCGGTTTAGAAAATTGATAGCTCCTAAACCAAAATTTGTTTTGGCTTGATTCCAACTCGACGAGTTCCTTTGATGAGTCAAGAATGTAGTAAAATTAACTTTGTAGCTTAACTCCTTGTGGTATGGTCGGAATCCTCCAATAGGTAGTTGTTGGTCTCCATCGGTTTCTTTGGAAGTCTGCTGACTTGTAACTTGAATATCTCTCTCATGTGGAAAGCTTTTGAACCGATTCCACTTCTCAGTGATCCCTTGATGACTTGGTGTTGCCTCATTAAAAAATTTTCTAGGTAAACCCATTGGGAAAAACCCTAGATAAGGGAAAAAGAGCGCAACAGTCTCATTCCAATACCGGTTGGGTTGATGTGCTTCAATAAAGGCACTTAAGCCTTTGGAATGCTTGATTTGGTTCTCTCCAAGAGTCTTGGTCATCTTGATGGTGTCTCCTCCATGATCATTGGTTGTTGCTGACTTGATGGCCTCATCATCAACTTTTTGGGGGCATGATGTATTGTGCTTATCCAAAAATAAAGAAGCACTTTAGTTCAAGTTGGTGTTTGATGCTGGATAACTTTTTGGATGCTAAATCTCTTTTAATAGTCTTCTCAGTTTGGTAGTAACAATGGTGAGCAAGAAGCTGTCATAGCATAAGCATAAGATGGAAGCTTTGAAATCAGAGGTGACGACTGGTGCCCGTTTTTCTGATTTTATTGGGAACGTTATGATGTTTTGCTTTTTAAAAATGCTACCTTGTTTGTGCCTTCTACTTAGTAGTTGAGTTTGTTTATATTGTACCTTTTTTTTTTTTTTTTGAATGTAATGTTAAATTAAATTCAAAAGAAAAATGTTCGTTTTTACATCGAGTGCATTGTGTGTTTGAGAAAACTTAAGAAAAAAAAAATGACTTTAGCAAACTTTGTTTATAGACATTAACTCCTAGCCGCGAACCAGATTTGGAGACCCATATCATATCTTCTGTCACCGATTGCTTTGATTGAGGAGAGCTGATTCTTGACTTGCTTATCTATCCATTTGATTAATCGAGCTGGAGGGTTCGGGTCTTCACCATGTCTTCTTCCGTTTCGTTCCCGCCAAATAGCATAGAGCGGGCAATGAAGCTTATGATTCTGTTCTCCCATTGACTAGACGTAGTGACAATCAATTCGTGCCAGTTTGTGGAATATCTTGATCGGTAAATATTTTTTCCCAAGGCCTGCCATACTTCAGAGGAGAATCTGCAGGAAAAAAAGAGATGATCACGTGATTCAAGAGTGTTGTTGCAGAGAACACATCCTGTGGAGAGTTCTCTGTTCCAATGTGTCATTTTGTCACCCGTTGATAAGCGGTTTTGAGCTGCTAACCAAGCGCAAAGGAAAAGTTGGGCGTAGCATGAGCAAACCAAACGCTCTTGTGGCAAGCGACTTCATTTGAAACAGTCCGTGTAAGCTGCCAAGTGTCTTTGGTGGAGAATCTTGGCCGATAGAGATTGTTCTTTCCCTTCCAAAGGACAATGTCCTCTTCCTCTGCTCTGTTTCGCCGTGTAGAAAGCAATTCACTCTCAATTTTATTAAGAAGTTCAGCTCGATGCAGGCGATGTCTCCGGCCAGCCCATGCCTCTACAACTTTTTTATGTTTACTAATCCCCAAAACAATTTGGCCTCGTTCCCTTGCAGCATCAAACAACGGCCCCATACTTGACCAATTATCATACCAAAATGACGTTCTTTCTCCATTCTTTACATCAACTTTGCAGAAATCTCTTGCAACCTCTCTGAATTTTAATAGCTTTTTCCATATCCAAGAGCCTTGATACGTTTGCTTGACTGACCAAAATGTGTCTTGTTTAAGAAGATTGGTTTTTATCCACGTTACCCACAGCGAGTCCGCATGCGAGATTAATCTCCAGATTAATTTCAAGCAACAAACATCGTTTGCCTCATGGATAGATCTCAATCCAAGTCCCCCTTCTTTTTTTTTGGCTTACACACTACCTCCCATGCAACCTTTGTTTTTTGAGCATTTAAATCTGGACCAGACCAAAGAAAAGCGGAACAAATCTTATCGATCTCTTTGATACACTCCCGAGGAAGTCTGAAAGCGGGAAGCCAAAAGTTACATATACTCCATAAAACCGAGCTGGCCAAGTTTAGTCGTCCTGCGTAGGACAAAAAACGTGTTGTCCAAGTCCCTATTTTCTTTCGTATATGTTCAAGCAACGGGCTGTAATCAGTTGACGTGAGACGCTCTGTGACAAGAGGCAGTCCAAGGTATCTCACCGGGAGGCAACCTACAGCAAACTGAAAATGAGACTCAATCTCGGAGCGACCCGAGTCTGATATTCCCGTAAGGTAAATAGTGGACTTCTCCACACTGATTTTGAGACCTGAGCGCTTTGCGAACTGATCAAATGCCTCCATGATACCCTCGATAGATCGTAATTTACCATCAGATAGCACCATGAGATCATCATCAAATGTAAGGTGAGTCAAGCCAATGCTTTTACATCGTGGATGGTATCCAAAATGCCGAGCTCCGGCTGCCCGGTCCAACAATTTAGATAACACATCCATAACTATAACGAAGAGATAAGGGGATAGTGAACATCCTTGTCGCAAGCCACATGAACTGTTGAGAAAACCAGCTAATTCTCCATTCACTTGGACCAAGAATGAAGCTGTGGTAACGCAAAGCATAATCCAATGAACAAATTCCGGAGGGAAGTTTAAAGTTAAGAGGACATTCCTTAGGAAAGACCACTGAACAGAATCGAAAGCCTTGGAGATGTCGATTTTTATAGCGCAGCGTTCTGAAATTGCCTCTTTGTGATAGTCCTTTACAATCTCCGTCGCAAGCAGCAGATTTTCTATCAATAAGCGATCCTTCACAAAAGCCGACTGATTTCCCGCGATGAACTGTGGGAGAACCATTTTAAGTCTCTTTGCAATGATTTTCGAGATGGTTTTGTAGAGCACATTGCAACATGAGATTGGCCTGTAATCTTTCATCTCCCTCGCTTCCAATTTCTTGGGAATAAGGGCAAGAATAGTAGAGTTAACTCCTTTTGGTAAGAAACCCTTTTCAAAAAAAGATTTCACCGCCACCACAAACTCCATACCGATAATGTCCCATGTTTCTTTATAAAATTCTGAGGTAAAACCATCTGGCCCCGGCGACTTATCATTAGGCATGGAGAATAACACCTCCTTGATTTCTGTCTCTGTGATTGGTCTCATTAGTCTCTCCTTCTCATCTTCGTTACACCGAAACGGTAACAAGTCAGCTAGGTCCTCCATTGTAGCTCCCTCATAATCATTAGGTATCAATTGTAAGAATTCTCTGAAAAATCTTTCAGCTTCCTCTTTAATCTCTTCTTCTTTTGCTGTGACACTCCCATCTTGTCTCTGTATCTCCCGGATTGAATTTTGTGCTACTCTAGCCATGACTGCTCTATGAAAGGTTTTATTATTTTTGTCTCCCACCTTAAGCCAGTGAAGCTTGGATTTTTGCTTTTAAGAACTTCTCCTCTATACCCGCCAGTCTCTCCCATCTATCATGAGCAGTAGCTTCCTCGTCCATGGCCTGTGGAGAAGGAGTTTTTAAATTCATTTCTTGCTTCTCACAAAGCGTTTCATACGCCTCCTTTGTTTGCTTTACCAAATTTCCCATTCTTTCCTTTGCCAAATGTCTTATCTTCGGCTTTAATGCTTTCAGCTTCTTTGTAAATCTGAACATGGAAGATGTTGACATGAAAATAGGCTCTGTGATGGCATTAATGAATTTGAACGGTTTTTTCCCCTTGACACGTGCGCCAGCTGCCATATTGAGATTGATCCGACATCGTAAATGGTCCGAGCACCCTCCTGCCTCAAACACATTATACGAATGCGGAAAACTCTGCTTCCAACAGTCATTCACCAATACCCGGTCCAACTTTTTTGATATAAGATCATCTTCTTGTCTATTGCTCCAGGTGTAGAGCGGGCCATGAGAAGCTAAATCTGTGAGAGCACAATAATTTACCGCAGCTTGGAAATCACGCATCCCCGACGTAATATGGGGATTCTCCTCTCCTCGGGAGTGCTCCTCCATAACTAGAATTTCATTAAAATCTCCGAAAATGATCCATGGTTTATATTGTACTTTGTCTTTCTCTGTTTATAAAGCCACTATGTTGTATCTTGTACTAATGGGTTTTCATTGATGGATGAAGCCTCAGTTTAATATATATATCAAACACCTTGGAAAAAAAAACAATTTAGTGTCATATTCGTTTTAAAACAGTATTAAAATAATTTTTAGTTTCGATTTTGTTCTCTAAATATTTATAACGAAACATAATATTTTGTCCGTGACATGTATTTCTCTTTTTTTTATGTGAACGTCTAATTTATTATATAGTATACTAGAAAAATTAAATCCTAAATCCAAAATTAAAAACTAACATGTTATAGAAAAAAAAACTTGTGAAATGTGAAATCTTCCAAAATTTAGTTAAGTCATATCGTTGATTTTTACTTAATTTGTTTCCAAAAGTTTGTCATGAACCTAAATATCTTGAGTTAATTTTTGGCTCAGTCTTTTATCTAAACTTTGTTAAGGAGCAACCTTTGTTTTCAGGCTTGAATTGGTCAAAATATTCCGGATTTCAACTTTTCACAGCACATTAGTTCCAGTTATGGATACATCAATTTTGCTATATCACATCATCATCAAAAATAGAAGTCCAAATGCATTCAAAGGTAATAGACAATATTTGTGCTCTCACAGATTTAGCTTCTCATGGCCCGCTCGATTTATTATCAAGGAAAAAGATTAAGGGTGATTTACAATGCATTCAAACTGTTTTCACTTCTATTTGGACACATGTGTATAGACCTGACCAAGTGTTGAAGTTGAGGTCAGAAAGTATATGATTCCAAACAGTGGCTGTGTCTATGATCCAACAAGGACGACACATCATGCATGTCATCAGAGAAAAGTTTTAGATTGGTTTTGTCAAGTCCTGGAGAGAGGCCACAAAGCTCGGCGATTGACGAAGTTGAAGGACTAATCGTAAAGGAAATTTTAACACCCACGTATATACTAATGCAAAATTCAACAAGAAATGTTGTTTTATTTTCGTCCTATCTAAAAAACCAAAAACTACTCCTTCGGTCCTTCCCTTCTACTCTCTTTTACATCTCAACAAACACATTATTATCAACATAAAAGAAAAATGAAAACAGTTTCATTGTTTGGTCCTAGACTCTCAATGCATTGTAAGTTACATGGCTAACATATATATTTCAATCTAATCCAAAATAGAAGTCCAAATGCATTCAAAGGCCTCAAACTCCAACCTATAATTACTAACCCTTTTCACTGGCCATCTCACATCACTAATCTCTTCAAACATCTCATTACCATCATCTAAAACCGGAAAAAGAGATTCCGGTAGACTCCAATCGAGGGAGGTCGAGATCATACTCTCCTTCATCCACGGGAACTCAAACACTCCGAAACTCTCCTCATTACTCCCACTTCTCTTCTCCTCCATCTTGTTTTCTACATTGCTGGCTCTCACATGTTGTCTCTTCTTGCTCTTCTTAGTATGATCGTCATTTTTCTTGCGTTTATGGCTTGTAGACGAACCCTCCATCGTCGATCAAAAAGAAAACGTGAGATGAGATGAGATTTGGAGTGAATTGAGAATTAAATTTATAAATGGGAATGAAAAAGTGGGAGGGGAGGAGAGGGAGTCACGCCTTCTTACTCGTATATGTATCTGTCATTTAGCATTTTAAAAGCAAACCAACCAAATCCTTTTGTGTTGTTTTCGTGTTTTCCTTCTTTTACGTTCCCATTTCTCTCTCTCCCAACCACACAAGCAATTCAAAAACGTTTTAAGATATATATCAAGGATGAGGTGGACATTAAGAGACAAATGGCTATTTTTTAGCATTCTTTTATTTCACTCACAAACACTGATCATCACTAATGATAACTAAATACAGTAAAACCTCTATAAATTAATACTCTATAAATTAATAACTTCTCTAAATTAATAAATTCTTCCGGTCCCGAGTTGGGACTAGTGTAAAATATGACATAAATCGATAAATTAATAAGATAATAATTTTTAAAAAAATCTCATATAAACATATGGTCCAATTGATATCATAAATTAATAATTGTATAAACTTATCAATATATATATATATATGATATAAATTTATATATGTCATATTTGAATTACTATGATATATATTTAAAATATTCTATGTCAAAAATTTAATAAAATATGACTCTATTATTCGAAAAAAGTTTGTGTTGTTTTTTAAACTTAATAATTGCTTCTCTATTTGTAATTAGTTTTTTAAAAATATTACTTATAAAGAAAAAAAATTATTTTAGATAGAAATGTTTTTAAGAAATTATAAAATTAGTAAAATCTCTCTATAAATTAATAATTATTAATTTATCGATAAATTAATACCTCTCTAAATTAATAAAATTTGCTAGTCCCGACATTATTAATTTATAGAGGTTTTACTGTATTATGAGAATAGAACACAAATTATTCTTAGTTAATATGACAATTAAGTAATCTTTAAAGCAATTGATGTTGTCCTAAACCCTTGTTCCAAATAAGAAAAAGTTTGTTGTTCTATATATATATATATATATATAGAAATCGTGAAAAGAGAACAACGGTTGAATAAAGGAAGAAAAATTGAATGCTTAGATTTCTAAGATTTTCGTACGTTTTCATATATAATTTAATCGTTTTATACGGTTTTATGACCTAAGGAAATAGTTTTCAACTCCCTCCGTTTCATAATATAAGTCGTTTTGGAGAAATAATTTTGTTTCATAATATAAGTCGTTTTCAAGTTTCAATGCACTTTATATATTACTTTAATATTTTATAATTATTTATATTATGTAGTCTCTTTTATGATTGGCCGAACTTTTTAAAAGTAGATCTTCTTAATCTGCATGTTTAAAGCTAAAACGACTTATATTATGAAACGGAGGGAGTAGTATTTTAGTGTCTTACGTCTTTACATGTCAAGAACGTGGAAAATGCAAAAAGAAGAAAGCAAACATGTTATGTACTTAAGAGATTCGACATTTGTTGAAGTACTAAATTGAATGATCTTTATATCAAACTAAAGCTAGAGATAGCAATGTCCCAAATAATATTCTTTAGCTGTTCAAAAGATATGGTAATTGTATATAAAAGACATGTCAATTTGGCGGCAAACGGTGCAAAGGAAGAAGTTGGCCTAGAAGATTGATTGAGGGTCGACCTCATCTAACCTCATCCGTGGTTGACCTCAGCACACACCCACATGATCGACCACCAAGGTAACTTCATAACCAAGCCTGTCATACAAGCTAAAATCTTAATCGAGAATCTTGCTACGAGAGCGGCTGCAACAATTGTCTAGACTATGACATAGCGGTTTTGATATAGTCACATTTTTTACCACTTTTGACTCTTATCGTCTCTATGTTTTTATTAGGGATGGACATTTTGACCTAACTGAACCAAACCGAACTGAACTAACCAAACTCATGAAACCGATTTAAACAAAACCATATCTTTACACACTAAACATTTAGTTATGTTTCTTTAAAAACCGATCGACTCCGATAAACCCTCTAATTAATCAACTAATAGTATTAAATAATTTTGTAGATACTAGATAGTAAATATGTCATCTTTTACCCACATTACACTTGATTTGACACGTTTATTTTTATTTCTTTATTTAATAAACTAATTAATGTAAAATTGCATTAATTTAGTTTAATTATCTCTAACCCTATATTCCTTAAAGAGTAAAGACGTCGAAGGCTACAACCAAGTTCCAAAACCACAAGAAACAAAAAGACTTCGATTGAAAACAAACCACAAAAAAAAACTAAATCGAATTAAACCAAACCAAACAAAACCGAACCAAACATTAACTGATTTAGACACAAACCAAATCAATCTAAGTTCAGGTGAAAAAAAAAATTAATCAAACCGAATGGAACCAAAACCGAACTTGAACCTAAATCAAAATTCCCACCTCTAGTTTTATTAGTTTATAATTTATTTTTAGTTTTATTCAATCATTATAGGTGAAAAGATGGTTCAGAAAGACATAGAAACTATAGATAAAAACTGAAGAAAACAAGAGAAAACTTACAAATGGTGGTATAGATCAATATACACCTTTTGTATCGAACAATACAACCTCAAAGATGAAGTTTTGAGAACCCCTCAGAAGACGATGTCAATGTCGATTGATTTATGTTATGGTATCAATCGATACCCATCAGACATGAAACACGAAGTTCATCACATGAAGCAATATCGATTGACATCACCCTTGGTATCAATTGATACTCCTCTTTAAGCAGCAAAAAAATATATATTTAAATTTCTCCTTTTGCTTAGAAAAAGTCGGCTCTAACTTATCTTAAACGGATCACTTCCCTATAAATACTTATTTTGCAACCATTTTTTAAGCACGCATTCATATTTTTTCAAACTTTTTGTTACTTTTAGATTTAGTTCTTATGCTTTTGGGAGACAATTAGTTGCCTCTAAGTTGAGAAGTTTTTTGAACCTTATTTACTATTTAATAAGGTAATCTCTTTTCTCTATTTGTTTGATGTTTCTTTCTTCATGTTTGAATATACTAGTAGTTATGTTTTAGGATTTCAATGAGATTTCATATGAATGATTAGTTAGGGTTGTTAGACATGGAAAATTGTTATTAGATTTATCTATCATTGCTCTTAATGTTTTGTGTACCTTGATAACCTAGATAACTGATCTCTAGGTTTCAGTTTATGCACCAAAAGTGATTATATGAACAAACTTTGATGGATAGATGTATGTATGTATGTATTGATGTGCGTAGAATTTCACTTCAGAACTTTTACCTGAAAGACTACACGTTAAACTACAAGTGCACAGTAATCAGAGTAGTATTTAAGGATCGATCCCACAGAGAGTGTAGCTACGGGTTATTGAATTCAATGAAAAGATTTAGCTAAGACAAAACTAAACTTTGGGGTTATGGTTTTGGGTTTCCTAATAACTAATGCAATGAAAGTAAATGAATGAAATAAATGAAAGCTAAGTAAACTAATGAAAGCTAAGATGAATAACGGTTGTAAGCTATTATGACTAAGGCGTTGGGCGTTCTAGAGTTTCTCCAGGAATCATGGTTCTCGACTAACTAAGGTTTAGATCTCTAGGGTTTTTATGTTTTCGTTCTAGTTCATAACTACGAAAGGCAAATGAACGAGTTATCCTAGGTTATAGAATAAGCCGGCAAATCTCCCTATACTCCGTTACTCAAATGACGCAGGCAACGACGCATAGTTCGATGCATTAGGGTTGGATTCGCTAAGTACTCTAAGTCCTGTTACTCAACTTACGCAGGCAACAACACGAAGGATTGGTAACACTATATCCGAGATTAAGTTTACCCGATTAGAGCTCCTAACCTCTTGGATCAGCGTTTGGTGATCAATCCAAACACATGCATTAAGTAAAAGATGTCCCAAAAGAATCTAAGTATGAACAAAATTATAGATCTATAAACCTTATATGATTTGAACCATGAATCCCCTTTGAATCCACACAACAAAGAAAACTACTCGCTCATGATGCTAAGAAACGACATGGAGATGAAGTAGAAAAGCATAATAAACGAATATGAATAAACAAAGGGGGTTCAAAGGAAACTTCTATAGTGTCACAGAAGATACTTGTCTCCCCAAAAGTCTTGATAGAAAGAGTAGAAGAAAGAGTAGAAGAGAAAACAATGAAGAGTAAAAGAGAGAAAGCTTCAAAGGACGACTTCTTCGGGATGCAAGAGCTTCGACAAGGTGGAGCTAGGAGATCTGAGATTCTCGTCGATGGAGGCTGCGAGATCTACGTTTAGGAGGCGGTGAAGAGCTGTGAAGAGGCCGTAGGGTTTCTTCAACTTATCTCGGTATTTATAGGCTTCGATTAGGTCAATGGGCAAAACCGTCATTTCCCACAAATTAGGTTAAATGAGGCTCGAGTATCTTGGACAGGGTACGACGTGTGATGACCGGGGTGAAGTGTGGAGAGCAGTTTGGGTACGGGCACTCATGACCGGGGGCGCTAGAAGTCTCCGGACCGGTCGTAAGCCTGTTTGGCCGGTCTAGGACGTGTCTTCACTCGTAAGGGCATAACTTCAGATTGGCTCGTTTAAAAGTTCTGATTCTACTTCGAGGTGAAACTAGAGTCTCCTAGCTTTCCACAGCCACCGAGATCTCTTGATTTGGTAATTGGAAAGACCTCGAACGGACGCCACACTTCTGAGGCACAAAAACTGTCTTGAAACGGGATTTGATCGACTTTTACTCCTTTTTGCCTGGAAACACATTATTCATCCTTGAAGCATAAATACTTGAAAATATCCTTGAAATCTCCAATATCTCCTGTTTTCTCCATGGAAAACCTAAATAAACATAGTAAAAGTGGGCTAAAATACAATGTTATCAACTCCCCCAGACTTAGACTTAGCTTTGCTGGTCCTCAAGCAAACAAGATATCCTGCGGAGAGGTTTGAAAAACCTTGGGAATTCTCTTAGTATCAGAGACCATGTCCTAAAAGATATCCTGCGGACGCATAAAGACAGAGACAACACGTTAGAACATTCTCACTATCGACTCAAAACTTTCACCATCCTTATCCTTCCATCTCGAACCTATAAGGGAACTCTAAAATCACGTTAGTTAACTCTCTACAT